TTTTAAAGGAAGCAGATCACGCTGGCTTCCACGCTGGATTTGCTACCCTCGCGTTATCAATCGATAAGGTGTGAGGCAGTAATTGTTGGACGAGTGTAAGCCCATGGAAGATATGATACGATGAGATAAGAAGGTGCGGCTGCTTGATAAGAGGTGCACTCCAGAATGAAAACGGGACGATAACGATAACGGTATCATATCTAGCACGCTCTTATCGCACCCCTTTCCACATCGATAAGTCTTGGTTTTTGCTGAACGGAAGTGGAATTTCGGCGCCTTATCACTCCGCTGCCGTTGATTTAATGTGCGCCACTGGCAGCTGACACTGAACTGTTTAGATCAACCAACTGGGCCGACCTCATATCTCACTTCCCAATTCACATAGCTTCCCTTATCGTTCGCCAGCAAAATATCGTGGACCCTAACATTCCTTTATCAGATTGCAGTTTTTATTACGGTTTCTTTCAGCCAGTCAAGCGGTCAGTTGCTTATAACCCGCCTTAACTATTGCTATTCATATAACATTCCTCCCGAAGGCTAAATCATGTATAATGGAACCTCCTAAACAACTTGATATATTTTCCACTATCTTGACGTTGGTCTCCCCCCTCTCTATATGTCTCCTAAGCTATTTCCTCGCTTTGTGGCTTCTTTGATCTCTGTGAAATTCCCGATCCTACGATAGGAGAAGTCAATTTGAATGCTTTGCAGCAATAGTCATTAGTTTATCTTTCAGTCTTCCGAGGGCGTTCATAGCTCGCACCTTAAAAATCAGGGTAGAGGAAGTTCGTTGTGCTGGGATGTGGCTCGGATTCTAAGGAATGGGACCCTTTTCTTCTGATTTCTGTGCTTATGCGAATGTCGTATAACTTCGTATGATGTCATCGGTACTTCGGTGCTGCTCTTTTCAACGCTAACGCTCTGCTATACGGCTAGAATTAGACGGCAATGGTGTGGGCGTGCCGCGGCGCGGGTTTGGTCCTTCAGGCCGCTTGGACATACTCTTTGCTGAGAAACGCGCATCATCCCGCACCCTTACGGGCCCGCCTGCCTTTCGACACGGTATATTTGCCCTCCTTCGACCAACGAACTATTGTGGAATCCTCTTTTAATCGGTTAAGCGCAACTGAATGTAAACTTGAAGTACCTGCGCATTTTTCATAAAGCTTCCTAGTTTCCGAAACCTGATTGGCCTTCTATGAATGTTTTGCTGGTCATTTGGAAATTTGGTGGACGGAAGCGCTAGAGTTTTTACTTTGGATCACTTCTAATTGATTGTTTATGACCTGCACAGAAGTTACAGTAATGCAAAAGCGCCTTTTACCTTTTTCTCGTTTCAGGATATGATTTTCAAAGAGGAGATTTTGCTGAGGGTGTGACAAGTCCACACGGTACGGAAGCTATAGTTGATCAGCTCATACGAGAGAATCAAGATCTCATTGAAAAGGAGGCGCTCAAGCAGGTGAATTTTCGGAATCTATACTGTTGTGGGAATGGTGTTTAAGCTCTGTTCGATCTTTGAATTCGAGAAATCATATAAGTATCGGTGTTTGACTATGATATATAGTCTTTGTTTAACTAGAATGTTGTGGCTCGCCAAGAGAGAAAGTGACGCGAAAAATGTGTTGTGCTGCGAAAAACGAGAAAGTCGCTCTTTATGCTAGCGGCCACACCGTAGGATGCAAGCATAAAGCATTGGTAACACTGTGACCTTCACCGGGTCCTGTTCATAGAAACAGACCGCGCTGACACACTGTCGTTTGTTCTAGTATGACACCAAAATGTTAATAGAAACGTGTTGCAGGCTGCTGCAGCAGCGCTCAACGTTAATGCTGCTCAATACTCGAATCTCATTCCACTGTCATTCGATCAGGAGGAATTCATTAGGCAGGAGGAAGAAAAACGAACGAAACAGCGAGAGAAATTGCAGAACAGCTTGTGGTCGAAGAAGTGATTAAGGTTTTTGCACGTCTGAGGTTTCCCATTAGTTGTTCAAAGCACATCTTTCTCTCTGCCATCTCGTTTCACTGACTCTCCTTTCCATTTCGTCAGGCTTTTCTTGATTGCAGCTCTCTTTCTCCATTCAATGGCTCTTTTTTTAACACGGGTAATGCACAGTGTAAAGTTGCATCTCAGCTCCGGTATAACCAACACTGCTTCCATTTCTGACTGTCTTTCTGAACTGGAGCTTGCTACTTCCAGCTCTATATGTGTTTCAAATAAATATTTCTATGCAATGACCCACGATTCTTCTCCGGCTTCGGTATTATATTGGTTTGTATAGCATCCGATTTTGCATGTGTAATGGCTCATCCTACGCAGATGAATATCCCACCGGCGTTTCCGATACCTCAAGCCTCCAACTATCAAAGTGATCCGGATAAGGTAAGGGTTACTGCACCTCTTTGTGAATATGTTGAAGATTTTATTTGTGATTTATGTGTTCAGATGAGTGCTGCAATCTCTTACTTAGAGGTTAAAGTGATGGATGCTAAGAAGACAATAGAAGAGTTACTGTATATGCTGGACATGCAGGAGAAGGTTCCATGGTATGCTGTTTCACGTTTGGATGCTGAAAGTTCGAATTCGAATAGTCGTTAGCCACGCTCTCTGTTTACCTCTTCATCTCCCTCACGTGATATCATTGAGAGAGCAATTTCTATGGAAATGCTCAATGTAAACAAGGGCCCCTATCCCATTAATAGAGGGAGGAAAATTCTCATTAAAATAGCGATCACGTGGGCAGGTGTAATGGCATTTCTATGCTTACTGTATGTTAGAATAGCTGGTCAGGTAAGGAAAATTCCAGATTAGGGCTCACGTTATAGTCTTCTTCTTGGTGGTGTTGCAGTTTTTCTTCGGCTTTCTTTACAGTCAAGAGTCTCAGGTTCTTATAGCCTTATTATTAGTGAATGTGCTATTTCTATAGAAACACCCTCCCAGCTAATCATGTATAATAGAACTCCTAAACAACTTGATATATTTCCCACTGTCTTGACGTTGGTCTCCCTCTCTATATGTCTCCTTAAGCTATTTCCTCGCTTTGTGGCTTCTTTGATCTCTGTGAAATTTCCGATCCTACGATAGGAGAAGTCAATTTGAATGCTTTGCAGCAATAGTCATTAGTTTATCTTTCAGTCTTCCGAGGGCGTTCATAGCTCGCACCCCCTTAAAAATCAGGGTAGAGGAAGTTCGTTGTGCTGGGATGTGGCTCAGATTCCAAGGAATGGGACCCTTTTCTTCTGATTTCTGCATTAATGCGACTGTCATCGGTACTTCGGTGCTGCTCTTTTCAACGCTAACGCTCTGCTATACGGCTAGAATTAGACGGCAATGGTGTGGGCGTGCCGCGGCGCGGGTTTGGTCCTTCAGGCCGCTTGGACATACTCTTTGCTGAGAAACGCGCATCATCCCGCACCCTTACGGGCCCGCCTGCCTTTCGACACGGTATATTTGCCCTCCTTCGACCAACGAACTATTGTGGAATCCTCTTTTAATCGGTTAAGCGCAACTGAATGTAAACTTGAAGTACCTGCGCATTTTTCATAAAGCTTCCTAGTTTCCGAAACCTGATTGGCCTTCTATGAATGTTTT